TATTTTTTCTTCAGTGGTTGGGGCAGAGGAAAGGGCACAGTGGGGCAAATGCCCACCAGTCCATGGTATTAAAAAATGCTTTGGCCGGCGCAGGGCCGTAGCTAAGCCGATAATTGGGGGAAGCGGGGTTGCATATTCATATATTCGTGTTCTGTCCGACGGATTTCTTTTGAAAGCGATTATTTTTACGGTATGTGAACATGAATATATGAATATACACATCCCCCCCCCCATTATTAGGTCTAGCTACGGCCCTGTCTTTGGCGGCCACGAACACGAACAAATTTTCCTTCTCCAAAAACTGGCATGTCTATAGCTCTCGAACAATTTTTGCCGTACACACTTGGTGTACGTACGCTTAGTGTATAGGTAATAGCATGGTTTCGAGTGCAATTTGAATATAACATGCACGAGTGAGTTTTTCAAAGACCTGAAAATAACATGCATGTTTATCCAAATTTGACGAGAAGCCATGCTATTACTTATTAATAATATACATAAAAATGTAGGAGACAATTATTTAATTATTTTCAATGATTTATTGTATATTGGTAGCCGTTGCCGTCGCGTTGCCGTCCTAAATCGTAAGGTCTCTATATCACATTATACAACGGTAACAGCTTGAAAATTCAACTGAACTATAGGCCTATGTTTTGTTAGTCTTGTTTAGGGTAAAGGCTTTTTCCATTTAAAAAAAGATAAAAGCCATATTTTCCAACCGAAGTCAACTTTACTTTATGTAGCTGGTGACGCCGTGAAGCAATCTGTCACCGTTATTTCTTCAACTGTTTAAACTAAACTGCTTTAAACTGATTGGTTGGTTTTATCATCATATTGTTTTCCACCAATCAGAGACAGACCCTGGGAACAAGGTTGGCGGGAATGTTGCATGTTTCTATATGCATTGTTATTATATTGCGAATGTAAAACAAAATTAACACCGATGACATCGATGTATATACATCTCTTTTTCGCGTACCTGGCAATTTTAATAGGTTGGGGAGTTTATCTTGCCCGCACTCCTCATTTCAACAGTTAACTTCACATTGCATCGGGTACTGCATCTTCTAGCGCAATTGCGCATACACTTATTTTTGGCAAATATCATGTATTATGGCATGTGCATTAAATATGCAATCCTGCTAATCCACCTGCGCGAGAGAGGCCGCATATAGCTGATAGCTTGATTATTTTGCCAACCTCAACTCACTATCACCCTCGAGGTACGTTCACATGTCGCGATGTTAGGCCGAGGTCGATTTTAACTGTGTTGTTGAATTTCAATTACGGAATAATATTTCCATTTGACTCTGATGCCGCCAAATTACATCTACCAAGCATTTTTCAAATAGCATTACAAACATGCTTTGACTTACGCTTTAGAAAAATTTTTAATCTGGGAATAACAAAGGATATTTTCTGAAAGAAATTATCAAAATTAGAAAAACTGCAAAGTTTGGTTGCGAAATGTTGTAAAATATAAAAAATATAACCCTGCGAAGTTGGCAAATTTGTATACATTTCTATTACGTGCGGAAATTGGTAACTAATTTAGTTACCAATTCACGCACGTAATACAAAAGTATACAAATTTGCCAACTTTGAAGGGCTATATTTTCCGTATTTTACAACATTTCGCAACCAAACTTTGTAATATTACTAATTCCAAGGCGCTCTTTCCAGCTGTGCTGATAGATTTCGTTTTTCTTACTTAGATTAAAATTTAGTCTTAAGCGCAAGTCGTCCAACAGATTGCAGGATTTGCAGCGTGTAAACATATCTCGAGGTTGACTTTATTGAAATTATTTCATAGGTATAGCTCACCAACAATATATTTATTATTCGAACGTCGTGGACTCGTAGTCCCTCACGGGAAAAATTTCAGGCGCGTTATCTGTATTATATACCAATTAATACCGATTAAAACCTTTTAATTTTTATTCGGGAATTACGTGAAATGGATCCCTCGTTTGTACACATCTTACCCAAGAATAGATTGAATGAAATCTGAAAAGGCTGAATTTTTACGAAGATTGTAATTGAGTCAACATGTCTCTATAGGATGTTCCTCAATAATTCTGCCAGTGATTTCTAGTCTTTATGTTGTCGTATTTAATTACTGAATATTAATAAAGATTTTTATCCTAACTATTATAACTTGTCAAATTTATCACATCATTACTTTATATAAAATATGCGCTTGGGAAAATCCGCGTGTGAAACGCGCTATATATAAACATATAAATATATCGGTATTATTTTTAATGCGGGATACTAAACAAACCACTGAGACATCAGACAGGCCAGCATGATACAGACGTCATATGTTTATGTCGTAATAATATCGTGTGTTTGAGATTTTCACTTACTTATATAGAAGCATTGCGCTGAGACTAAGATGAACATAACGAGTGAAAAACCGGTCAGGTACAAGAAACAGCATCTCTTTGATTGGAAACAGCGTCCAAAGCTTCCATATCTAAAATAATTTACAGAATAATGTTTATCATCAATGTCACATCAAGCATGGTTTTATATATAGTTTAACAAGTATCACAGTCTGTCGTTTATGTGGTTGAAATGACTACATTTTTTTGATCGACTTACTGAAATTTATAGCCACTCCTAGACACTTGCTCACTCAACATCCTAACAATAATAGCCAAAAGGCAGTCTCTCGGGTATTACCCCACAATTTTCCTGATGCGCGTATTATAAATAGTCAGAACTGCGAGCTTCCGTCCTTGTAAAATATCTGGGTTTTAGGTTACATAACAGAATGCAACCGGACGTCAGGTTAACAACTATCATGAAATCAACTACCTGACCAAACGCTCACATATGATAGATAAGTCGAATGAATTTGAAATATTTTTTATATATTTTAAGCCAAGAAACCACTCCAGTCGTTATTCCATTTCAACGATCGATATTAGCGAGAGTTTCATTGCGATTTTCATTGCGTGTTTTTTTTTCATTGCGGTTTTCCGTATCATTCCTAGGTAAAGATATAACGGCTGTGTTCAGCAAAAGTTCTGGGAGTTATCCTAGATTCGCATTTAACGTACAACGAACATGTCTCTCATCATGTACTGTAAAACTTTGTCAAATTAACTGCAGAGTGAAAGACAGTTTTGATAAAGACTGAAACGCTCAAACTCAACATTTCATCTCTTGTTATCAACAAATTATTCTACTGTTCTTCTCATAGATATCTTATATACACTAGATAGTGCATCTAATTATTCTACAATTCAAAAATTGAAGCCGTGATTGCAGACTCACGATATCCCCATGAAATGAGAAGATTCGCATCATGTTTTCTATTTCTTAAACACGGAACTTAAATATTAAGGTAAATTTATTCCAAATACATTTTTAAACTATTCAAATGATGAAAGTTATTGTTGTTTTTAAGCGTTTATTAGCGAGTGGGAAACTCTAACATGGCCGCCATCTATTCAAATGGGGGTAACCGCTGGAATATTCTTGGCTTCAATTTTACTAAAAGAGATGCGCTATCTAGTCTATATAAGATATCTATGGTTCTTCTACATGGACAAATACATCTTCCACAAACATTAGCAAGCTCCAAGCAGCAGAGAATTTCGCATGCAGGATTATTACAAACACCAGAAAGTTTGACCACATCATCCTTGCGCAAATTCTGCTCAGAGACTCAATTATGACATATAAATGCTTGAACTCGCTTGTATTACACCACCATATTTATTATATATAAGTGACAAATTTTCGAAACGATCTTCGATACACAGCAAACTCACGAGAAACCAAGATACACTACAATTCCTTTTTTTTGTACCGACTACTGCCACTGGACAACAATAACTTTTCACTATAGGACTGCTAATCTTTGGAATGGCCTGGATGAATATATCAAAGAAGCAAGATCTCTCCGCCATTTCAAGAAGTTATTGAAAAACAATCTTTATTAACAATTAATGTAATATAAACTGTAAATACTCAATATAACTATAATTAACTATAATACTGTATGTAATGGGCAATGAAAAGCCCAGTTGGGAATCGCTCAATAAAGTATGTATGTATGTATGTACTTTTCTATCTATTGTGCACACTAGATGACTGCATGTATAAATTTCGTTCGAACGAAAACCTCCAATTTTCTGTTTCAAATTTTCGGCTGGGGGCTGCGAGAAACCTCGTTCCCAGGGTCTCTCCTTCTCTCATGTGGGAGAGACCCCCAATCTCGTTCCCAGTGTATGCCTGTTCGCGAATTATGTAGTGGCATGCTCTGGGAGGATCCTGGGTACGAGGTTGGGCTGCGAGCAGACTAGATGACTGGGAGTGGGTCTATGTATTTTCCGATTGAGAACACTTAGTATATGCATTGAGTTATCGTGGAATGTTTTAGTCTGCGTTCGCACATGGATGGATGAATTCGGAACCGTACTGAAATTCATCCGGTTCTACATCTCCACACGGATCTTTTGCTGAACACAGCCGTTATATCTTTACCTAGGAATGATACGGAAAACCGCAATGAAAAAAACCCGCAATGAAAACCGCAATGAAACTCTCGCTAATATCGATCGTTGAAATGGAATAACGACTGGAGTGGTTTCTTGGCTTAAAATATATAAAAAATATTTCAAATTCATTCGACTTATCTATCATATGTGAGCGTTTGGTCAGGTAGTTGATTTCATGATATTTGTTAACCTGACGTCCGGTTGTAACCTAAAACCCAGATATTTTACAAGGACGGAAGCTCGCAGTTCTGACTATTTATAATACGCGTATCAGGAAAATTGTGGGGTAATACCCGAGAGACTGCCTTTTGGCTATTGTTAGGATGTTGAGTGAGCAAGTGTCTAGGAGTGGCTATAAATTTCAGTAAGTCGATCAAAAAAATGTAGTCATTTCAACCACATAAACGACAGACTGTGATACTTGTTAAACTACAGTATATATAAAACCATGCTTGATGATAAACATTATTCTGTAAATTATTTTAGATATGGAAGCTTTGGACGCTGTTTCCAATCAAAGAGATGCTGTTTCTTGTACCTGACCGGTTTTGCACTCGTTATGTTCATCTTAGTCTCAGCGCAATGCTTCTATATAAGTAAGTGAAAATCTCAAACACACGATATTATTACGACATAAACATATGACGTCTGTATCATGCTGGCTTGTCTGATGTCTCAGTGGTTTGTTTAGTATCCCGCATTAAAAATAATTCCGATATATTTATATGTTTATATAGCGCGTTTCACACGCGGATTTGCCCAAGCGCATATTTTATATAAAGTAATGATGTGATAAATTTGACAAGTTATAATAGTTAGGATAAAAATCTTTATAAATATTCAGTAATTAAATACGACAATATAAAGACTAGAAATCACTGGCAGAATTATTGAGGAACATCTTATATAGAAACATGTTGACTCAATTACAATCTTCGCAAAAATTCAGCCTTTTCAGATTTCATTCAATCTATTCTTGCGTAAGATGTGTACAAACGAGGGATCCATTTCACGTAATTCCCGAATAAAAATTAAAAGGTTTTAATCGGTATTAATCGGTATATAATACAGATAACGCGCCTGAAATTTTTCCCGTGAGGGACTACGAGTCCACGACGTTCGAATAATAAATATATTGTTGGTGAGCTATACCTATGAAATAATTTCAATAAAGTCAACCTCGAGATATGTTTACACGCTGCAAATCCTGCAATCTGTTGGACGACTTGCGCTTAAGACTAAATTTTAATCTAAGTAAGAAAAACGAAATCACCACAGCTTGAAAGAGCGTCTTGGAATTAGTAATATTACAAAGTTTGGTTGCGAAATGTTGTAAAATACGGAAAATATAGCCCTTCAAAGTTGGCAAATTTGTATACTTTTGTATTACGCGCGTGAATTGGTAACTAAATTAGTTACCAATTTCCGCACGTAATAGAAATGTATACAAATTTGCCAACTTCGCAGGGCTATATTTTCCGTATTTTACAACATTTCGCAACCAAACTTTGCAGTTTTTCTAATTTTGATAATTTCTTTCAGAAAATATTCTTTGTTATTCCCAGATTAAAAATTTTTCTAAAGCGTAAGTCAAAGCATGTTTGTAATGCTATTTGAAAAATACTTGGTAGATGTAATTTGGCGGCATCAGAGTCAAATGGAAATATTATTCCGTAATTGAAATTCAAGGACACAGTTAAAATCGACCTCGGCCTAACATCGCGACATGTGAACGTACCTCGAGGGTGATGGTGAGTTGAGGTTGGCAAAATAATCAAGCTATCAGCTATATGCGGCCTCTCTCGCGCAGGTGGATTGGCAGGATTGCATATTTAATGCACATGCCATAATACATGATATTTGCCAAAAATAAGTGTATGCGCAATTGCGCTAGAAGATGCAGTACCGGATGCAATGTGAAGTTAACTGTTGAAATGAGGAGTGCGGGCAAGATAAACTCCCCAACCTATTAAAATTGCCAGGTACGTGAAAAAGAGATGTATATACATCGATGTCATCGGTGTTAATTTTGTTTTACATTCGCAATATAATAACAATGCATATAGAAACATGCAACATTCCCGCCAACCTTGTTCCCAGGGTCTGTCCTCTGATTGGTGGAAAACAATATGATGATAAAACCAACCAATCAGTTTAAAGCAGTTTAGTTTAAACAGTTGAAGAAATAACGGTGACAGATTGCTTCACGGCGTCACCAGCTACATAAAGTAAAGTTGACTTCGGTTGGAAAATATGGCTTTTATCTTTTTTTAAATGGAAAAAGCCTTTACCCTAAACAAGACTAACAAAACATATAGTTCAGTTGAATTTTCAAGCTGTTACCGTTGTATAATGTGATATAGAGACCTTACGATTTAGGACGGCAACGCAACGGCAACGGCTACCAATATACAATAAATCATTGAAAATAATTAAATAATTGTCTCCTACATTTTTATATATATTATTAATAAGTAATAGCATGGCTTCTCGTCAAATTTGGATAACATGCATGCACTCGTGAGTTTTTCAAAGACCTCAAATAGCACTCGTCCTTCGGACTCGTGTTATTTTCAGGTCTTTGAAAAACTCACTCGTGCATGTTATATCCAAATTGCACTCGAAACCATGCTATTACCTATACACTAAGCGCACGTACACCAATTGTGTACGGCAAAAATTGTTCGAGAGCTATAGACATGCCAGTTTTTGGAGAAGGAAAATTTGTTCGTGTTCGTGGCCGCCAAGGACAGGGCCGTAGCTAGACCTAATAATGGGGGGGAGGGGGTATGTGTATATTCATATATTCATGTTCACATACCGTAAAAATAATCGCTTTCAAAAGAAATCCGTCGGACAGAACACGAATATATGAATATGCAACCCCGCTTCCCCCAATTATCGGCTTAGCTACGGCCCTGGGCCGGCCAAGGCATTTTTTAATACCATGGACTGGTGGGCATTTGCCCCACTATGCCCTTTCCTCTTCCCCAACCACTGAAGAAAAAATCTAGCCTATTGCCCCAAAGGGGGACCTGTATTGAGTAAATGAGTTTAACATTGAAAAGAAGTTTACAAACAAAATTTGTTGGCGAGCATACTTGGATATGTTGTGTTTGAATGTTTAGCATGCAATTTATTACAAATTTCACCATTAAAACTTTGTTTTGAGAAGCTAAGATTTTTTTAAAAATGTGTACTTAGAATGCAGGGGGGAGGGAATGCCCCCAGTCCCCCTAATTAACTCGTGCCTGCGATACTCGGCTTACACCCCTGGAGATCGCATACTATCCTGGGGAGAGGGCAAAGAAAGTGGGCCTTTTGGCAGTTTTGCTCCACCACTGTAGAATCCTTAAAAAACGCACTGGCCCTGGCCAAGGAAAACGTGACGAATGCAAACAAAAGGCGGCCTTGACGTGAGTTAAATCGGGCTTTATGGCCAATGTTGAGGTTTAGTAATAGTTTTATAGTATATAGGTTAATTTGCACATTTCAACAGCTGCATGTTTAATGAAAAATAAGTTGCACAAATTCAATTAAAAACTTTTGCGTTACTTTCGTGGGTACAGAACATTAAGTAATGTGCAGAAATTAAATAATAATTAATTTTGACTCACGGATATTGCGAAACAACATCTTGTGAGTGTTTGTGGTTACTTGAGTGTGGGGCAGTTAAACAATGGGGAATGACCAGCCTGCTTTGGGCGCACTGTTTGCCTGGGAATCAGGCCTTTCAAAACCGGAAATCGGACTAGAGCACGCGCCTTCGTTCTTTTGATTTTGCAACTGCTTTAATTTGTTCTGCCATGTTTCATTTGATCTCATCGTGAGTCGGTCTCAACGGCCTTTGATTTGATATGTTGACGAATGATCAAAGTACTGTATACACTGGATCGCGTTTTCGTCCAAGTCCCTTTAATATCGTATGTCGGGCGCTGGATAACATTACTTCAAGCGGTAAAGTTGTATGTCAATTTAATTTGTCAATATACAGGGTGTATAAAAAAAAGGTAATCGAACTTCAGCGCGCTATTATACGTTAACTACCCGGCGTATGAACAATTGGTATTCATATTCGGAAAGATCAGGCTTTTAGCTATTGAGTGACATGCTTTTCATGCCAATTGGAGAAAAAATAAGCACACCAGGCCGATTAAAAATTTTAGTCAAAATCGCATATTTTCACCTCTGTGCCTAATTAAAACAATGCATAACAAAAGAAAAAGCAATTAATCACGAACGTGTCGTAGCTTAGCTAAGATTTATTCCTACTTAATAATAATTATGAATATGTGTGCAGTTTAATGAAGTGAAATTCATCAACTTAAGTCCCAAAGGGGGTTCATTTTCAATGGTTTTAAACCCAACTCTCAGTGGTGAAAATATGCGATTCTGACTAACATTTTTTATCGGATTCGTATTTGCTCATTTTTTATCCATTTGGCATGAAGAAGGTATCATTCAACAGCTAAAAGCATGATCTTTCCGAATGTGAAAAAATCTCGTTCATACGCAGAGTAATTCAGATACAATAGCGCGCTGAAGTTCGATTACCTTTTTTTTATATACCCTGTATATACGATGCGCTACTGCATGTAGATTAACATTTTAAATTAACTTTCAAATTAATTATCTTATATTTAATTATATCTTTACATTTTAGATCAGTGTTCCTGGTCAAAATTGCAAGAGCTGCATCAAGTATACAGGCAAGTTTCATTATGTACAGCAGCATGGATACATGAAAGGCCATGCATGTTAAGCGAGGCACTGATTTATACTGCAACTTGTAATGTGACCTTGCAGACAAGGTATACAGTGCGGCGCCCTGTAGCATATACGCAAAAGAGTGTAAGTGCATCCAAGTCATGTGAATAAATACCAAGAGTGTCCAGAATGGGGAGGAGGTCTAGATCCCATTTCCGAGTCCAAATGTTCTGTAAATCCCATTTCCCAGCCCTTTCTTAGATAAAATTCAATTCCCACTGTGAAATTTAAAGAAAATGCCAGAGTAGATGTTTCATCTATGTGATAACTTTTAAACGCAATTCTGTGTTGAATTGCCCTCGTTAAAACTAGTTTTGCCGAGAAAAATGTGTATGACTATTGACTAACTTACAATTGCAGTAAAATGACCTCATTGAGCCATAAGGCTTTTTTGGCAAATTCTCTAGCAAAAATCGCTCTGTAGCTGTTCTTAAAGTTTTTCACTCTGAAATATCCAACTACAACTGTCTTGATAATGGTGTTTGGGTTTTCCCCTTTTAGTGTCTTTCATTCCCAGTCCCATGCAGTAACCCAAATCCCATTTTCTCAGTTCAAATATATGCAGATCCCAGTTCCCATTTACCCTTCAGGATCCTCAACCAAGAGTACGTCGTTATGATTCTGAACAAATGAACAAACTATCAGGTTTCTATAACGCAACGAGTCATGCACGGTATAGAAAAGTTTTCGTATAGAAACTTTTTTACACAACATACTCTTTACGGATGAAACTTTTTTACTCAACATACTCTTTACGGATAAAACTGAAAGGAATAGCATGGAAATATTGATAGAATAAACAATGGGACATGTTCAGAACTTCCCTGCGATCACTTGTAGATAACATGGCAGAAAAAATCGCATCGTGTAACTTGCCTTAAGAAATTATAGCTTGCCGTTAAAGAGTCATTGTCAACCACAATGCATTGTGCGCCCATGCAAACCTGCTTGACGGCCATTGTAATGGCGGAATAATAGATGTTTCGGTTTTCAATCCATAATATATATTACTACCATCCTATGGTTATACTTGCTCATTTTAACTTTTTTATACTAAAATTGCACCAAAGAAATGTTTATAACCGTCATTTCTTGCTAATATTTAATTTGTCACTTCCGAAGGTAAGAAGATATAAACAAATGCATTGTGGTTGACAATGACTCCTTAAAGTTTGCTACCAGAAAAAGTAGGGATGAGCTGATCACTGAAATTGCCGATTAGACAATTCGATTAATCGGTGGCCAATATTACCAAATGATCGGCCGATTAATCGGCCAAAGCCGATTATTTCCATTTACACATTTACCAGTAGCTGTTAGTTCTTCAGGTGGACAATGGCACTTGGGAAGCTAATGTAGCAAAGCACTCAGCTACAGTATCTCTGGCATTCATTCATGAAAAGTTTTCCATTTGTTTTTAATGTTCTATTTTGTTTCGTGTAATGGTCGTCCATGCGGTGTGGCGCACAATATTTTCCACTAAGAGGAAATCCAGCTTAAGCTACACACATAATCCAGCTCATGGCCATGGGGTTCATATGTATAAGAGTCAATTTTCTCACTAATTAATAATTGCATTTCCGATGAAGAGATAAGATGAATGGAAAAAAAAAATTGGTCAATAATCGGCAAATGGCCGATTATACAGAAATAATCGGCCGATTACCGATTATTAAAAATTGGTCGATTATCGGCAGATTAATCGGCTTGGCCAATTAATCGGCTCATCCCTAAGAAAAAGTTTAAAGACAGTTTCGACGTATAAGGTTTTAAGAAAGGATGAGTAATTGAACCAGTCGCGGCTTATTGGCCACAGTCTGTTGGTATTCCTAGCCAACCCGAATTCAAGGCGTGTCTGAGTTAGCGAATAGCCCTGGTTTATTTGAATAGATTATGTACGCATGATATTTATCGACTGTTTTAATTTCCGACATGTTTGGAGGAATGGATTTTGTTATGACACAAAGAAGATATGGATAATCAGAAGATACTCGTCAGGTGGATAGTACTTTTCACGTAATTTGATTGATTGTTCAGTCCCGGATATCCTTGCACTATTCACCTCCACTTCCACTTCAATTGCGACAGCTCATAGGCGTATGCGGCTGACGCTTTCCGGGGGAGGGGGCAGTTGAAACTTTTATGGAGGATTGTAATGAAATAACTTGAATGTAACATATTTTCTGATATATGTGCCCAAATTTTCTTGATTTTTCCTAATATTTGTCCGAATTTCCATGGTTTTCTATGCGATAGCTTCCAGCAGTTCGTGGACTTTTGAAGTTATTTCCTCAGACAACAGCAAAATATTCTCTATTTTGTTAAATGTTGAATACTATCCAATTATTAGACGATCATTACAAGACTATTATTTCATTTAAATTACTCTCTTTTTTTCAGATCCAGTCCAAGATCCTCGGAGCTTGGTGATTTAACAACACAAAGCTGTGAACCATTATATCCTCGAGTGGTATTTTATAATAGGATATTTAAAGCTGCTAGTTCAACAATGTCAGAATTGCTTAAAACTTCCAGTAGTCGTCTGGGCAATTTGTACACTCGAGGTACACATAAATATACTGCTTGTTTATAAAGATATAAAATGCATTCGGTTTTGTTTTTATCTTTTTGTGGATCGAATATCATACATTTTAAATAAATGTATATAAATTTCCACTTGACAGTTTCCATCCACAATACCCATCAAATATTGTTCATTTGAGTGAGATGCCACAAAAATCATGATATTTACCCATAACCTATACATGACAGTACCCTAGTATATATACATGAACTTGTGGTTAGAGCTCGACAACTGGCTACAAGTTCTGTTCCTGTTTAGGTCTAATAAGTGTATAGAAATTTCCACCCGACAATTTCCATGTACAACACCAATCAAATCTTATTCATTCGAGTGAGTTGCCGCAAAAAATCTTGATGTCTACAATTTACACGAAAGCCCATTACACATTAAAAAACTCATTAATTATTCATAGTGTAATTATTCAATCTGGCGTAGGAAATCAGTCACATGCATACGTTTTCACACAAGCTAAAGCACTCTTGGTCATGCAGAAACACTACTGTTATGTAAATTAGACAAACATTTTTATACTTTTATATTTTTCTCTGAAATTGAATAGAGTAATCTCTTGAAAGCAAACTTCAAATCTACAAAACACATTCATATCTTTGTGAACATAAAATATGCACGAGTTTTTTTATGAATTGAGACATGTGCGAAGCAGTTCAGAGTTCTGCTGACACTAGAGGGGTTTCCCCTGCCACCAAAAATTTGCGATTACCTAATCATACTGTTGATTTCTTTCATGTAGATTTTACGGAGGAATGGGAGAATGAAAATCTGTCACATCCAGTCTTAACACGTATTCAATCAAAAATTGCGAAGTGTAAAACAAAAAATAAAAAGTTGATGGCCATTGCTCATCTGTACTTCAGAGAAGATATCGAATCCACGTATATAAATTTACTAAGAGAGCCGGTTGCTCGTTTCATATCGCATTATTACTATTGCAGAAGTCCAATACGATGGCCTATTAAACTAAAGAAGTTAAAAGAGCTTGGACACTTCAATGTTACTATTGAGGAATGTCTGGAGAATCAGTACGAAGGATGCGCATGGAATCATATGACAAGATTCTTCTGTGGACCTCGTGCCCTTTGCAAGACCGGAAATGACGAAGCACTAGCACATGCAAAATATCACATGCTTCATTATTATGCAAGCGTTGGCGTTATGGAGTATTTAAATGAGTTCGTGAAAGTTTTGCATAAACGATTGCCAGAATTCGTATTGCCTGCCCCTGAGGCTGGAATGCGCAAGAGATTTGTGACAACGGGCGTTAAGAAGAAGCCGATAAATGAGTCGACTTTACAAAGAATAAAACAGGTCAACCAAGCCGATATAGAACTCTATGAATTTGCTAAAGACTTATTTTTTAAACAAGCTGCGAGCTGTGGTATCGAGATAAAGATTTGATCATTTTTCATATAAATTATTTTAAAAGGATTTTTATCATTATCAATGTATATTTGTATTTATATTTATTATCATCAACATATAAATTATTTTAAAAGTATTTTTATCGTCAGTACGTACTTTGGTTGCAGAGGCTTTTAATTAAGGCCACATAAAAAAAATAGTTGGTTAGCGTCCCCGCCCGCCCACAAAAAAGGCCCCGCTCAGGATTTTTTTTTATTTTTTATTTAAAAAAAACCCGACTTTTATTGATCAACGGGCTCTAATATATGTAGTATTTCTGTTGACTGTAGTCAATTGTGTTAATAATTTGCGAAATTGTGTGCGAAAATGACGGTATGAATTATATTTTGAAATATATAAAAAAATATCTGTACTGCGCAAGAAAATCCAGTTTCGGACCTAACAGTGAGTAAAACCAAGGCGTTAAAAATTAGTAAAAATTAAAAAAAAAGCGCCCGCCCGCCCACTTTTTGGCAAAAGCTAAGGACGCTAACCAACTATTTTTTTTATATGGCCTAAAGGCTAAAGAACGGCGAGGCGTAAGGAGAACAAGCAAAAGAAATGCCAAGACGGAATAACTTCTGATCAAATCGATTGCGAATTTTACATATTAGTATCCAATGAAAATGTTGCAGGAGAAATGTCAATTTCACACAATAACAACAACATCTAATTATTAATACTAAAACTACTAAATATACAATGAACTTATAATCTAATGAGCACTAACCAATCAAAAGACAGATGATAGACCTATAAGGTGAAAAGCTGGATTTTGGCTTTTTACATGCAGGCAGATAGGAATTTTTCGTAACAGATCGTCTTCTCTTTTCCTTCCATCCACCCGCATTTAAAAAAGAGAAACCAAGCTAATAGTGAATCAAGATATTGTCTGAAAACTCGACCAAAGTCTTTTTTCTGTCTTTTTGTCCGTATTTATGCAAACTTGTACACGTGCACGGTGAAAGACAATGTATTGTTGGCATAATGGAGCAATCATCCAATGGCATCATCCCGTCGAATCATTGATTCTGCCGTACTGTTGGAATATTAATGCTAATAAGCAAAATTTGAAATGATTTGTGCACGGTGAAGCCGTATTCAACATAAAACCGTAGCTCATTGCCGAGGTTCCAGACCATATCTCGATACACTATGATCAGTACTGTATAGAGAACATTCAAGTCGGTTTAATATGATGTATTTACAATGGACCATTTGCATTATAGACTAAATTTTGATCTAGACAAAAATTTCATCACAGCTTGAAAGAGCGTCACAAAATTAGTAATATTCCAAAGTTTCGTTGCGAAATGTTGTAAAATGCGAATAACATAGCCTTGCGAAATTTGCAATTTTCAGTCATTTTGTATTACAAACGGGAAATTGATGCCCCAACACCCGATTGGGCTGTCAATTTTCCGTGCGTAATACAAAATGACTGAAAAACGGCAAACTTTGCATGGCTATATTATCCGCATTTTACAACATTTCGCAAGGAAACTTTGGAATATTACTAATTTTGTGGTGCTCTTTCAAGCTGTGATGAAATTTTTGTCTAGATCAAAATTTAGTCTATAATGCAAATGGTCCATTGCTGAGGCATTTTATTAACGTCAGAGTATATACTGCCTCATGGTGTACTACAGCTTAGGATAACAACCTCGTATCTTGTGCAAACTGGAAGGCCAGCAAGAGTTGGCCCCCGACCCCAGCTCAATAAACACCGCGGTCAAACGTGCGCGTGTATTTACTGCTTGAACTCAAAAGACTGGAAATGGTATTGTCTTGACGAAACTCTAGGAAAAAGTTTAAAGAAAATTACGAGTGTTTAAACTCAGTATAACTTCATCTTGACACAAGGAAAAAATGGTGAAAGTTCCTATCTTATAGCTTCAGCCATTTCCTAATAGCAAACGCTTCTCTTATCCCGGAAATGATTAGTGTGTTATTTACTTCTCTTTTCCCTTTTCTTTACTCCTATTATTTTGGCAGACATTTTCCCCGCCATTTCCACATCGACCGCGGTGTTAGAGGCCCCAGGGCGACGAAGGCCGTTACAATTTCTTATAAGATTGCGCTGAGAATATAAATCCTCAATGCCGGATAATATGGAATAAAGCGTAATAGAGTGTAGAACACCGCTTCTCCCGTTTAACAACGTCGATTTATGACGTCATAGAAGCCCCTGGCAACCTCTGCGACCTGGGCAAAGTGCACTAGATAATGGAGGTGGGCGGGCAGAGTCAACTTAAATTTTGCCTTCCGTTGCTATAATTTATGTCATAATATATATATATATATATATATATATATATATATATATATATATATATATATATATATATATATATATATATATATATCTTGGAGCAAAACTGATGAGCTGCGCACCTGCATAAGCTTTTCGCTTTGTAAGAAGAAAAACAATATAATATACACGTTAAAAACAGAGTGGGAGGTCTTCCATTGACTGTGTTGAAGACCGAGCGCGCAGCGCGACAAATTTACTAGCCATTTAATTTGGTTCATAGAAGGTTTCAGCGTATAAGCTGTACTACTTATGGAAATATATTATATACATAATGTTCTTGTTTCCATGCTTCGCTGTTAGCGATTAGACATTTGAAATGGTAAGGCACTGATTAGCTTCTTCTATCTCGTTTTCATTCTTCAACTGGCTGCGATCTGGAAACTTCTCAACGCTGGATGAACTTGATCTTGTCGAGATTTGGTCTTGATGTTTTAAAGAAATTGTCACTAGTGGATCGTTTACCGAGTCTCCTCTGCTCTGCGATAAAATAATGAATAATAATTAGTCACCACACAGAAAATTGGACAATGTATGTTTTCATATTTGTGTGACAATATACATTCGTGTTTCCACACAATTTCTCGTTTTCCCAATTTCCACTCCTGTTGATATAACTTTATATCACTAAGGAAAAACGTTTCTATTTTTCTCTAATATTGCACATAGAAATAGTAAATAGAGGATATTACACGGCGAGGCGAAGATATGACTTTTATCTTCGAGTGGTGAAAACAATATTTTACGAACGAGCGCAGCGAGTGAGTAAAATATTGTTTTTAACACGAGAAAATAAAAGTCATATCTTCAAGCCACCGTGTAATGTTCTGTTTATTATATAGTCCCAAGCAAAAAATTGTGAAATTTCATGCTTACTGAGCAAATTGGAAAAAGTCACGTGATCGATATCTTCACTAGTGAAGATATGGAAAATATCTCACTGTTTATTTTTCAGTATCTCACTCTCTACTATTTTTCAGTATCTCACTCTCTACCGTGTTCACATTGAGTTTTGTCAACACGGCGCTTAGTCAATCAGCGTTCAGAATTTAGAAATGCTATATTATAAAATTAAATATTGACACAATATAATGCATGAATGTTTAAGTAATATTTCAGATTCGAGTTGTTGTTTTACAGTACATGTGCTTTCTAATTCCATGTGCCCAATCTTCTCCATAAGGGCGGCGTACGTTCGCAAATAATCGTAAGAAGAGACTTGAAAATGCCGAGAATAGTATTCAGTAGAAGTGTTTTGTTTCAAAAACATATCTTGTTTTAGAGTAAGCGATTGCTTGTTTAAAGCCGTTTTCCACTTCAAGCATAATGTAACGACACGTATCAAATGAATGTTGATTGGTTAATACTTCCGTACTTTAATACTACCGTGATACGCGAATCTTGAAAACCCATCTCCAAGCTGCGCATGCTCATCGGTACGTTACGGTACGGTAGGGGCGGAGTGGAAAACGGCCTTTAGAAATCTTTTTCAAATACAGCTAACTGTATTTAGAAGTAATTTCTAAAAACGATATTACGAGTGTTCACTACACAATATAGCTTCGCATACGGTAAATAGACTGGGCTGAAGTAAAATATTACTAATGTTCATTCCGCTTAGATACAATACATTTGATATGGAAAATTTACATATTGTTGTTATCACTTAGTTTCACTTTCATATTACTCTGACACATCAGAGTATCACCTTAATTTACCACGAATCGTACTAGTAGTGCATATACTACTGAGTAAATTACTGAAATATTTGCATTTTGTTGTAAAAAGCATTTTGTTGCATACCACTAAGTTGATAGGTTTAGGTTACTTTTATTATAATTGCATTCAGACTTGCGCTGCTTGCGCGTATATCCTCCGCAGGCGTTCGGTGGGTTTGGAAAGAAGATTTTTTTCATCATCGAGCTTCGTGTATGCGTGCGTCCTGGGAAGAAGTCAAAATTATTTGCATAACTGCGGTGGCTGTGGGTTCGAATTAATTATCAAGTTATTTAAGACAATTAATAAAGGAACATGTTTAATTAAGTAAGTAAGTAATTATATAAGTGAGTAAAAACTTTATTCCACGAGGGAAACGTATTAAATTAACATACTAACCTCACAATGTTACAATATTAACAATATACATAAAGATATTACTCGACTGTGATTGGTTGATTTCAGTTCAGTTAATCCCAAACAGTAGTGCAATTTTCTGTAATCACGGTGCAATTTTCTGTAATCATAGTGCAATTTTTTGTAATCATAGTGCAATAGACCTTTATAAAAAGGTTGACGTCAGCAGGATTGTGACGTAGTTTGCGGAGAAAATCTCGAAAGCTCAGAGTTGTTTACTTGTTTTGAAATTTTTTAAAAGCCAAAATACCCAGTATTATGGTAAGTTTGAAGCAAATTTTTCTATATATAGGCCAAATGAGTTTTCATATTCGTCGTAGTTTAAATTTTATTTGTTTTTCATTAGATTGTACATTATTTTACTGTCAACATTTAGCGAATTGTTCGCTCGGTTTCTTTACATATTTCGTTGCTAAAAAGTATAAATTTTCTTTTTGTTTCTCAAATTCATCAGTGTGATCATCAGAATGGCCCCAATGAATCTGTATAGACAGCAATACACAGGCTTAGTGATCGTACAAAGAGGTACATCAGTGAAGTTAGACTCTGAGTACTGCTTGTACACAATGACTCGTAAGACTGATAAGTCTATTATTTTTACCGATATAGTTGACAGAAAAGGACATACCTGGCTCAAAATTGGCAAGGATATTGAAAAAGCTACCAAAAATAACTTAAAATTTCGGCTGAAGTGTAGAGATTTAAAAATTAAATCTTCAGAAACGAAAGCGGAGCTGTTTACAAATACTAGCCACTAGGGTTCTGTACTTCTGTATAAACTTTTAGATCATTTTAAAACCTATAAAATTTGCTTCAGAACAGCTTTAATATTTAGTTGGGATATGCAATTCATTTCCAAGCAATGTACATTTTCAAAATATCTAAAATCATTCTAAATTATCATGTTATAGAGTAAGACAAAACCTTGATAGAAAATTAAAATTGTTGACCCAGACCCGAAAAGTGTTATACACGATTGATAAAAGCAACTTGTTATGTATGTTCACTTCAACTATATCGATAAAAACAATAGACTTATGTCTAACTTCACTTATGTACCTCTTTAAACGATCACTAGTGAAAATCACCGACGTTAATATTTCGTGTGAATCGCGAAAGCTTGGGTTCTAATGTAAATAAGTATGGCGGATTTTGAAAACATACAGCATTTGCATATATGTAAATGTTTTATGGATACAGAAGCAAGATATTGAACAGTTCAGGTGCCGTACACTTTATTTTAACTGCTATTTAGATAGAATACTATTGTTGTCGAATTGCATTTGTCCTAAAGCCCGTGGATAAACTATTTAGTAATAAACTATTATAATATACATGCTATATAAGAACGTTTTCGATTGGCTGAAATGCATGCTGAATAAATCGATTGAGCAAGGCCGAAAAAGCGCGGGAAATTTTGGGCGCTTTCCACTTGAACAAAAAATCCAGATTGGGTTTCTGGAATGTCCAGTGGCAAACTGGAACGCTACAGCGTGATTTGTAAATAATGGGAGGCTTGTTAATGGGCGCTTTCCATTTGATGGAAATTCCGGAAATCTTTCTTGAAAATCAAATGGAACACATTAATTTCTGGAATGCTGTTTCTATAATTTTGAAGAATTTTACTCTGTCGCTCAAATCTCTTCTTTCATCATTCGGCGAAGTAAATCCAGACTTTACAGAAGCATTTCAATGGTCGAGAACCCGCCATTTTGGTTTTGGTGGCGGTTTTTGCTCGTCGAAGACTGGAAAGCAGCAACGTGGTTGGGAAGTGTTTTAATGGTGTAAAAATTTCGAAACTCCCGGAATTTCCAATTTGTGGACAACCTCGAGAGATATAGTTTAAAATAGTTTCGAAAGAGTAAAACAGAGCTTTAATAAGATAGTCTAGGACCTGTATAGATGTTTGTATGCGTTTCATTTAGCACAGGTAATCTCAACTGTTTTAGGGTAAAATGACCATGGCGGTCAACATGGCATATGTGCCAAATCCTGAATCCGGGGCGACCGTCCTGAAAATGACCCCGCCCTGAAACGGCAGTGCCGACATAGCTCTAACTTCCGAAAAGCAAAACCGACAGGCTTTCTGAAGTGCTTATAGTGTTTAGAAGGGTTGCTTTTAGGGGTGGTCATTGGAAGCAAAAATTTGTCTAAGTATAATACTTTACCAGAAAATGACTATGCACCACCCCAGGTAAATTGCTGATTATGCACAAAATAACTAATATGCCTAGCAGAAATTTAATGCTCTTATTTCCTAAAGAAAATTATCATGGGATGAAAAACTATGCTTAATTTAATATAATTATTGTAGTTTTCATAAGGATTGTCATTGTCATATTAGTTATTTTGTGCATAATCAGCAATTTACCTGGGGTGGTGCATAGTCATTTTCTAGTAAAATATTATACTTAGACAAATTTTTGCTTCCAATGACCACCCCTAAAAGCAACCCTTCTAAACACTATAAGCACTTCAGAAAGCCTGTCGGTTTTGCTTTTCGGAAGTTAGAGCTATGTCGGCACTGCCGTTTCAGGGCGGGGTCATTTTCAGGACTTTCGCCCCGGATTCAGGTTTTGGCACATATGCCATGTTGACCGCATGGTCATTTTACCCTAAAACAGTTGAGATTACCTGTGCTAAATGAAATGCATACAAACATCTATACAGGTCCTAGACTAAGAGAGCAATGTTGATCAACTCTGCTTGAAAAACTTAGGTTTATCTGTCACGGATTGAAATGCTAGCGTACTATACAAAACGTGAAAATATGTATGCATTTTGCCGTTGTCAATAGAGCTTGGACGACGTCTAAAGGCTCGTTTACACTTGCAAATTTTGCTGCGATTTTAGGTGGGATTTTCTTCTTCTGCTTGATGTGAACGAGTAGATAAGTCAATTTAGTCATGATTGTTCATATTGCTGTACATGTACTCCGACCATTCGCGACTTCTCTACTCGTTCACATGCATCAGAAGGAGAAAATCGCATTAGAAATCGCAGCCAAAATTGCAAGTGTAAACAGGCCTTAAGAACCCTGCTATAGCTTTTAATTATTCATTTCTTTTGTGCTATAGGATTAATGTCATTGTATTGATAGCCGTCGTCCCGACGTCGCCGTCGCCGTCTTACATTCGTAAACTCCCTACTAACTCGATTGGGCACCGCCAAGTCATGAAATAATTCTCAATTTAAAGTAACATACCCCTGTACGTCTGTTTTCAAAAGTTACTCGCCATGGCATCATCTGTTTTTGTTTGTTTTTGCCTACAGCTGCCTTTAGACGCCTAAATAAATAAGACGCATAAATTTATTTAATATACATGATATTGAGATACTAGAAATTCATAGTGAGATATTTTCCTTCACTGACCTGTAAAGATGTTGGTCATGTGATTTTTAATTGCGCTTGAAACTATAGCGCTCGCAAGAAAGTTAATAACAGTGATATTTTTTAACCGTTGGAAATGCCATAATTCGTTATTGGGGAACGAGAAAGGAAATGACAATCTGATAAATGTAAAATCTACTTTTAAATGTTTGAGGTATCAGTCTTAGATTAACTTAATTAAGTGTTGGAATTCAAGGCAGCACTAGCTCGAAATACCCAATATTTAACAATTATTGAATGAGGTTGAGCACGATATGAAGAATTATCAAGCCCGAAGTTTGGCGTTATCAACCGAAGCCGAAGGCTGAGGTTGATAATGGCAAACTGAGGGCTTGATGATTCTTCATATTGTGCGAAAACCGAATTCAATAATTGTTTTATTATTTATTTAAAAAATTCAAAACAAACTGTCAACCCGCGTTAATCGTTGTTCGCCCGCGTTAATCAGCCAATCAAGAATTAGGAAAAGTGTTCTTATCTATTCTAGAAGCTTTTGTTGATCTTTTTGTATTTAACGAATCTTTATCTTCCAGTAATTTTTGAATTTCGGCTTCGCCAAGGTGAACCCAAGGCGAACCTTTCAGTGGAAGAAGCCATTCGTATTTTATTTGTATTAAGAAAAAAACAATTCCTTAGTCCTTCGGCAGCCGTCGTCGTCGTCATATCAATGGCGTCAGCGAGTCAATATGATTCTCGTCGTCATAGTATACGTAATAGGGAGCTTAAGCATGTAGGATGGCAACACGACGACGACGGCAACAAATACAATGAGTCAATGAAAAGAAATAAATAATTAAAGTCTCAGGGGAGTTTCAGACGTGGTCGTCGTTCTGTTTACAACGGTAAATCACAGATTTTCACGTCTTTTATACAAAGCCTGCATTATAAGCCGTAACAAGTGCAACTTAAAATTCGGTCAGTAGAGCTCTTCCCAAACATAAAGCCAATGTTTTCAGCTTCTTATACAGTATTAACTTTATACGAATTATAATATACGACAAGTTTTTCTTTTTTTGGCCGTCGTCGTCGTGTTGCCGTCTACATGCTTAAGCTCGCTAATATGGCGCAAACGCGTCCAAATCTTTTTCATATTGACTCGTTGACGTCATTTTGCTAATGTGAATGTGAAAAATCCATATTTGGTTAGCCATTGAGTTGATATGACAAATTCACAGTTGGCTGTTAGCCAATCAGAAACCAGAAACTTTTTAAATAAATATTATTATACATTTAATATGTATTCTCGTTTCTAATTGGTCGGAAAGCACCGGCTAATTTTCAGTATTCGGCATTTATTACGTATTTTCCGCCGATGACGTCATCAGCGTCCAATAATTGTTTTTTTGGATCGAACTTGCATCCAAAAAAAAAAATTATTGGACTCTCTCGTGCCCAAGCCCTTGCGCGGCCAAAAGCTTGAACCTATAAGCGCGCAAAAAAACAAACAAACAATGGCCTACAGCAGATTTCATTCGCTGAATGAAAGCGAACTCTCCAAATTATCGGCAGATAAGGATAGTGAAAGCACGAAAAAAAGCCACAAAGGGGTAAATAGAAGTAGAAATAGAATAGCTGACCTTTGAGGCTTTGACTCAATCTCGTACCCAGACTCTGGGTACGAGACTGGCTTTGACTTTGTGCAAGGTGTCTGATATTCAAATTGTACTTTTCCTACCTCATGAACAGGAATCGTTTTATACGTTTCTCATGTCTTTAAATGTATAATAAAACAATTATTGGATTCGGCTTTCGCATGATATCAAGAATTATTCAGACCTCGGTCTATGTTATCCGCCTCAGCTTCGCTTCGGCAGATAACATTGACGTCGGTCTGAATAATTCTTGATATCATGCTCAGCCTCATCCAATAATTGCTTAATAATAATAATTAATATTCGCAGGCTGATCTCTTGTGTGATGTTGACTGTTGATGTCTCGGGTATTTACATTTTACTTATTAAATTTTATTTATCAGTTAACATATCTGTAAATTGTACAGAAACTACTAGGTGCACTTTCATGACAGTACGCCTTTGGCTCAGTGTGATTGGCTGATGGCCCAGCACCCTCCCTCCCCCTACGAAATACTTGCTGGATCCACCACTGTGCAAAACTCTAACCGTAGCCGGTATAACGTTGCTGACCAGTTCTAGCAGTCTATATTTGCCCAAAAATAGCGCTGGTATTAGTGGTATAACAGCCTTACCTGTGACATAGAAATACAAGGACGGACATGGTTACGATAAATGCTACAAAAACAATCCCTCCTACAACGTACGCTATTTTCATTGTTTCCTTTCCTAAAAGAAAAAGATTAGTGGAATATAATTAAAAAAAGAAGATCCACTTCTGAATCATTGTTATTAGATAAAACTGCAAAAAAGTAGACTTAGTTAAGCCTTATCGAATTATTTACCTTTTGTAACATTTTTTACTGAACCATCACTACAGTTTTTGCTGTCATGTCCCAATCTGCAGCTACATGCAATAGAAAATATATCTATAATTTCACGAATATTCAGGAGACTTTCAAGCAATCCCATGAGACTTTAGCACAAAGGCAGATGGTGGGCAAGTGATGAAATTCTATTGGGTAAATGCTCTTCTTGTGCACCGAACTGCAGTATAATGAAAATCACCGACAGTATATCAAACACTTTTTGCAGGGGCGTCGGAGCGGCTCCATGCAGAAGTGAGGGGAACACATTCTTTTAGGGGGGTCTGGAGGTACAGGTATGCCCCCGGAAAATTTTTATAATTAGAGTCTCTGAAATGCCATTTGCTGCACTTTAGAATGAGATTTACAGAGTTCTAAAAGTAACAAAATGTTATAAAATATCTCAAATTGTTTTGTCTATGTTCCGCTTTTTGACAATAGTTACTATAGAATGTGGTGTGTAATTCCGAATCGATTCAATAAGAATATGTTTACACATACTAAATGTAGTTTTCGAAATTTTTTGTCACATGTGTTTTATATTTTCGACAATGCATACCAACCAAGGTAGATTCACAATAACTATGACAGTTTGATGATGGGGAACATACCTTATTGAAGACTTTATCTGTGTTGGTTTTGGGGTAATTTTCTGAATATCGCACGAATCTACGAATAAAAGCATCAGATAACAGGTTACGCCATTTTCTTGTAGGAATGATCATCTCTGCTGTGCTGCTTCTGCACACACAGAACGTATATACACTGCAAAGCAGGTAAATATGGGTGACGATTTGATATGGCAGAAAATAATGGGCTCCAAAGAGGGCCAGTACGAACAAGAAGAGTCGAACCTGAAAAATTTGTATTTTTGAAACTCAATGTTCGTATGCATTATAATATCTAGTAGTCATGAACCAATATACCAAAATGCTCGGATAATACATGGATACCATGCGCGTGCTGCTACGCCTAGAAATTTGTCTTCACTATTTCTCAGTTAATCTCGAGGAGACATTGGCACGGAGCTTTAGATTTCATAACGTGAAGATATCCTCTAGAAGGGGGACCTCATGGCATCATTCCAATTCCAGTTTTGTGGCCACAAAAAATCAATGTACACGCTTCCGTCATAGCACGCATATATAACTCAAACAATAATTTTCAATTTGCAGATATAGTCCTTTTATGGGTAAGCATATGATAACAATGGGTAAACATATGACAAATAGGAGCTTGAAATGGCAGACTAACCAAATCAATGGTTGGTATTACCCTGGTATATATGGCAGTATCCTAGTAAATATACATGAACTTGTGATTAGAGCTCGACAACTGACCTCTGTATATAGCTCAGTTGGTCAGAGCGCTGCACCAGCATTTTTGTACGACGTGGTGGCGCAGGGGAACAACACCCAGCGTGTATGCTGAGGGTCGTGAGTTCGAATCCGGAGTGCGCGCAAACGAATTTGAATTTTATGGGATCGCCGTAATTGGGGAAACCTGTGGCGCATTCCCTGGCTCTATATGTTGTATTTAAATAGTAGCCGAATCTTATTAAATCATTAAATCATTGCAGAGCTGCAGGTTCAATTCCTGCCAGGGACCTAAAGTTGCATTTTTCGCTTCTGTTCCTGGTTAGGTCTAATAAATGAATATAAATTTTCACTCGACAATTTCCATTTACAATGCCCATCAAATATTATTCATTCGAGTGAGATGCCACAAAAATCTTGATATTTGACCAAATCAATCCCTTTTTCAATTATTATGCCTTTCTGAGATGATAATGCAGTATACTTGTATCGGAGATAGTACAATATTGACCTCGTTGATTTACTTTTGTCAAATTCTCACCTTTTAAATACAACTTTCCATCGCACACGCTGGCACAGGAGCGACCATTTGGAGTTGGTAAGCAAAGATTTTTGCAGTTTCCATTCTTAAAGCAAGAACTTGTTTCTAGAAATGAAAATTACCAATGTTATTAAAGAAAATTTTCACAACTCCTGGGCGTCCTGAGAAGGGTGAAATGGGAGGGTGAAACGATTCGTACTAAAAAGCCCAGTATATTTTGCACCACGTTCACGAGTAAGAGCAGGCTATTCCGTTATGATACCAGTATATTAATGAAGACAAATTTGCTCATGTTTTTATCATCGGCTGATAATTAAACCAATTTGACATGTTTTTGTTTTACTTAAAAAATCATGACGTTGTTTCATATATTTCCAGTTTGATATCATGCGTGAAATGATGATTACAGACTAGTTTGGTTTGGTTGCCACAAAATTAGCATCTTCTCCGAGTACCATAATTACAGTGCGAAACCAGAAAATTTCGAAAGTAAACTTTACGAACTAACCATTATACCACATGATATTATCAAATTGCGTCTCCATGATAAAACCCTCGGTGGATATGTGGATTAGCCTTTCTCTTGCTCGGTTTATCCGCGATTTTGGAGGTACTGCCTCTGAGGTTGCACGCACCGCGAAATGGGACTTTTAATCACTGTAGTTGTGTGTATAATGATAAATTTACAGTTACATTTTTGAAAAATCACTTAATAGTTTGCACCTTGTTTTAATTGTCTTGATTCTTAAACGAGGGAAGACAGACCCGCGTGAGAAAGGCGTATTCCCAGCAACCGTTAAAGCGGTCTGTCGAAACCGAATCGGCCACCCAATTGCCATCTGTTTTTAGATCGTGAGCTTTTCATTTGCGGAAGAGTTTGAGGGGAAGCTCATACATACACTATGCACTTTCAACCCGGTTAAAGTTAGTACCTGGATTTTTTCTTATTGAAAGTGCTGCAACTGCCAATGGAATTTCAAGATGTTCATCAAGAAGGCTACGTTGGCTTCCAGTCTCTTTGTCAGCGCGCAGTAACGCATGTTGTCGGTTGTCTGTCCAATACACATATGATCCCAGTACTGCCAGTCCAAATGCGTGCACGTCCTATAATAGACGAATTATATGCAACTAGTTCTGGTAACGAACATGATTTTGCTCGTTTCGCTTGTTATAGTTTCTTCAATGTTATTAACGTTAGTGTGGTGTTATTAGTGGTGAATCTATTAAAGGCCAGGAGTTTCTCATTACAAGCTGGGTCGCGATTTCGTCGTACGTTGGTGAAATAAAATGTGATTGTGATACAAATATGGTCGAATACCAGTTTTGTCTTGTTTGCAATAACTCACATTTCGAGTATACAAGTTCAAAGTATTCGAATATTATTTTTTCTTAAAAAGTACGTCATTCTTGCGATGTTGATCGTTGTTGTTTGTTGATTACTATAAGTATTCCTTCTATCCAAGGACAATCACGAAAGGGCAGAAACTTCCAAAGGAAATAACATTAGCTACTTAACTAGCTATATTTAAAGAGGTCATCTCAAACATTTATTAAAATTTTTACTTTGGCTTAATTTATAACACTATTTTTTTTGTTTAGAACGCTATAAAATGCTCAGTGTCGAGCGCCGGATTGACCTAACGGTATAAATGAAGCAGACATAATAGTACTAGAGTATGGTGCTCTGGAGCATGCGCGTTACAACTGCACCACAAGCGCGAAGGTATACTCTTTTTGAATAAATAACCAAGGTTATGATTCCGAAAAAACTAACAGAATAACAAAGGAACAGAATATAACAAACCAACAGACTAACACACCCACGCCGCGAATATAAGTCGGTGCCAAAGTTGGTTTGGGCAATGCAATTTCAAATACGACTAGGACAAGCTTAGTAACTTGGTATTCACCTACCCTGTTAACCACAGTAAATCTTCTCCGACCGTCATAAGTACATCTTTCAATGGTGTGATACATTGAGTCAGTCCAATACAAGAACTCTGTGTCAAAGTCCGCTGCAAGTCCAACTGGGTAATAGATACCTCTGCTAGCTATCACAATGCGTGACTGGCCATTTGTATAAGATCTTTCGATAACCTTTCTTCCAGTATCGGTGAAAAAGAGGAGTCTGAAAGTCAAAACTGATGTAATTTTACTCTGCACGGATTTGAGTTATAGTTATAGTCAATTAGTTAATTAACCGACGAAAAAAGTTGATCAAGATTGTGCTTTTCTTTGCCAACAAAAATATATTAGATTATATTCCTTCTCAGAGGTGTCAGAGCGACCAAATATCACACATGCAAAAAGTCAAATTTGGGTTAATAGCACTTTAAATTAATGTATAAAAATGTAACCAAAAAATTTACAAAAACGTACCCTTTCATTGGATCAACAACTATGTCACGTGGCGTTTCCAATCCATGAGACATAAGATTAGCACCAAGTGAACCATCCAAGTTGGAAATCTTTATCTTTCCGTTCAAGAAATCAGTCCAAAACAAATTTCCAGAAATCCAGTCCACTGATAGACTTTTGATGGATGACGTAGTGGAGGTGATGACCGTCTTAGTATCTACAAAAGATTAGAATAATGAGCAATAATATACAATACGCACAAATACGAAATACGATGTTGTTTGAGCCCTTTAAGGGGAGACGATCATCGTCCAAGAGAATGAGATGGCTTTGGTCGAGAAATGTGTTGTAGCAAAGGGAACGATATAACGTTTGTTTCGCAAGTGTTTATTCAATTGTTTATTTGTTGGACTATGACGCAAGGTCTTGGGTGTTCTTAGGTGTATGAACAGTCACGTTGCTACCCTGAATCCAGTTACTTAATTTAAAGTGCAACATGACATGAAAATTTCTACCCAATTTTTTATGCATCACTTAAAAGTACCTTGAAAATAATACAACCTCGTACCCAGGGTCTTTCCTCTTGTGGAGAAAAGACTCTGGTAGACGCTGGTCACGTGATCTGCACTCCTTTACGACATTCATACAAAAAACAAATTATAAATTAAACTACAAAAATTATCCAAATATCAAATATTTATTGACCTCATCTTGGATTGCTAATTAAAATTCTGCTACATTTTAGCAGATCACGTGACCAGCGTCTACCAGGGTCTTTTCTCCCCTCGCCAAGAGGAAAAGCCTGAGTACGAGGTTGAAAATGATGAAGAATGGCCTTAACAATTTATTCACAGTTCATCTCATTACCTAGTTATCGACATTTTGTATTTTGTGTTATGATGTCACTGGTTGTGCATAAGGATGCCAATAAAAAGGATAAGTCTAATATCTCAGAATTGATTCAACGAAATTAACTAAAATTTGGTTCAGTTAGTAAGTGCACTTAAATTTTGAAACGTTTATGTGGTTGTCATAGCAACGCACTAGTTACCAAGTCTCTCTCTTGTTATTTTGATGTAACGTCTACCGAAGACACTCTGGAACGAAAAGTTTATTTAACTCAGTAGTTTATATTCACCACAGCACCTATAAAAACGTTGAGAATAAATGAAAATCACAAAAATTCTTCTCCTTTTTGTTGGAAGCAAAGAATTGAACAAACAGGACAGAGAGACCTGGTAACTAGTGTTTTGGTATGACAACCACATAAACATTCCAGAATGTTTACTTAGGTGCACTTATTAACTGTACCGAATTTCATTTAATTTCGTTGAATCACTTCTGAGATATTAAACTTTATTCTTTTTGCTGGCATCCTTATAACCAGTGATGTCATAACACAAAAATACAAAATACCCGATAAGTTGGAAATGAGATGAGCTGTGAATAAATTGTCGAGGCCATTCTTCATCATTTTCAAGGTACTTTTAAGTGATGCATAAAAAATGGGGGAAATGTTCATATCATGTTTATATAAGGCTGACAACAATTCTAACAAAATTAGTAGCTTGTATCCAGGATATATTTAGTTGGGTAGTATGTGTAATTTTATGGCGAATAGCTACAATCATTTATTTAACCAGATTGACAAAACAGGTTCTAATATATAGTTGCACCTACTTGAGCCATTGGTAAGTGATGAATATATATTGGTGCCATCGGTCCAGTATATATGATTTGTAGTTACGTCAAAAGCAAAGTTTTCTGTGATGGTGACGAACTTAACAGGTAATATAAAACCAGTCAGGTCGTCTGTATCCAAGGAAATTCTCTTCATTTTTCCGCCAGTGGAGTAGAATATTGATCTTTTAGGGCCTATAGTTATAAGCATGAGTTAATTAATAAAAAAATTAAATTTTATTGATAGTGGATTGCATTAAATTTAGTTCTGTTTCGTTTCTTGTAGATTAAATGTCAATACACCATGGTCAGATAGTCTTAGTCAGACTTAAGAACGGCCATTCAAACTACAGTACTATATCTTAAAATTTGGACGGCTACATGAAACAGAATGCCATTCGGACGGCTAATAACAGTCTGTACATTGCAAAAAAATCCACGAAAGTGTCAACGTGCTTTAATATGTAAATTAATAACACTGGAATGGTGTTCACACAGCTACATCTATAACACAGAAAAGGTGTAAGTTAACACCAATTGCAAGCCTTTGTCCACACAGCTGCAAAAAATTACACCGATAAAATTGCGCGTTGTCGTAACACTCCCAGATTTACAGTGGGTATTGTATACTGTACTTGATGGCTTGAATTGGAAAAATAGTTCAGGTAGTGATCATATACACCAGGTCTTTATATTTTACAATTTAATATATTTTCATTTTTGTCTGCCATTTCCTAAATGTCTACTAAAATGTCTCCCATTAGTCATTGACAGAGACATTGGAGGCAATTCCAATAAATAACGTATTTGGCTAACAATGGAAGCAAGTTTGTAACTGGATTTCACTGAATTTGCACGATTTCGTTCTTTTAAAGGTATTAGAAACATAATTTAAGTACGTTTGGATTGAAAGAACTCCTTAAAAGGTAAAATAAGGCATCAGTTTACATTAGATTTTTATATCTTCCTTTTGATTTTTATATCTTCCATGAAGATGTTTTTGATCTTCCATGAATATTTTTCTATCCGGACTTCCCAGCCGGTAATAACATATATACAATCATTATTTCAGTGAGGTTGTTTTATCAATGGTCATCGCTTTGCCTACCCGCATCTTAAGGTCTCTATTGTTAAGTTGCAAGCTAAATCCCAAAATTGGACGCCTACGAGATCCTGTCTAAATCCTTGTATCCCATAAGGAACTAGCCGGCGAGGAGCCTATGAAACCAAGAACAAACTTTACTTTAAGGAGTCCACATAGATAATATTTGCACTTACTCTTATTGCAGGTTTGGCCATCGTCGCGCAGCTTCAGACCAACTGGACAAGCACAGGAAATGCCAACTGAATTCTTCAAACAGAAATGACTACAGTTGCCATTGTTCCGTTCGCACTCGCTTTTTGATACTAAATTGAATAATAAGGACACCAAACACTGATTATTTTTTTATCTATAGCCACACGTCCTGAACATTCCACCAGAAACACACGATAAAGAAAGGATCATAATATTATTTTTACACAAGATAATAGGAAAGGATAGCATTCATCTAGAGATTGAAATAGCACTATGAAAAAAACATTCAAAAGAAAATTAATTTCCGACCTACCAATCCTAATTTTTTCATGATATGAAACCGGAACAACAGGTATTTTTTATTGGGCCCAGTAGCCCCTATATAAAGGCCTTTTTGACCTACTTACTTAATATTATACACCATAAGTATTACGTGGGATATGTTGACGCAACTGTAATTTTATCCATATTTAGAAAAGTTTCATTCAAACTGGACCAGGTTTGTTAAAACACCGACAAGTTTAATTTACAAACCTGGAACTTTTCGAAGGTTTACGGCTTGAATTCCAGTTACTCGCTTCAAGCCATTCATCACTGTAATAGCAAGACCATCTTGAGTTTTACCACTTTTTCTCAAAACGTTTGGCTGCCACTCAGACCAGTACACAAACCTACTAAACAAAGTGAGGGACGATGGACCAGCCAATGTGGTTACCAACTGTCGTCTGTTTTTTCCATTGAAGTCACACAGCTCAATTCGTTGCTGAAGATAATCGGCCCAGTATAAATGTTTAGCCACGTGATCAACTGTCAAGCTATTGGGCCACTTCATTCCTGACGTGACAATCTTTGAATGAGAACTACCGTCCGTGTTTGCTCGAGATATAGAAACCTCCTTGCCAAGATCTGCCCAGAATATAAATCTAAAAAAATTAAAGTCTTTCAAAATGTGTCCACCCATGCCATATGCAAACAAAAATGTGTTAGCAATAAATTACATATAGTTCTAGTAACTAGCATAGACAATTATATAGTAAAGTGTTGGTCATTCATTGTATTTATATTCCGGCCTACATTAACATCCCATGGGTATATAAGAAGCCACGTTGCGACTTCACATCTCTCATGATGAAGACACTAGACTGGTGTGTCGAAACGTTGGGTCGTGTATGCAAAATTGACTAGGCTTTGTATTCATTTAGAAAAACAATAGTAGCGAGCGAAAACATGACTGATATACAGTACCTGGTTGCCGTGAACTCACAAACTTTAAAATTAACAACTTTATAATTTATTTCAAAGAGAAAGAAACTAGGGTTACTACTCCACTCTTATAATATCCCAGTTTTACTAACTGGAAAACTCACGTGGATATATAGAAGTAAATCATTGCGTGCTCACATCATGAGAGCAGGGCCACCCAGAGGGGGGGGGGGGGGGGGCAAAGGGGGCAAATTGCCCCGGGCCTCGAGTTGCTGGGGGCCCCTGAAAAATTTTTGTAGGGCCCCAGCCTTTTTTGTGTGTTAAATATTTCCGCGCAAAGGACAAGATATCTGTTTTCTTGGGCTAAGTAACGAATTTTGGCATAAAAAAATGAGATAAAGTCCCTCGAAAGCA